GACACACTTGTAGTTCATGAGTGTGGCTTATGTTTCCATGTGTGAGATGTGTTAGGCATTCTTGGTGCTCGGTATAAACATGTGAGTGTATAATGATGCAGAATGCCTGGATTCATCTTTCCGTACTTACAGCGCCTGCAGACCTGTAGGGAGAGACACATCTTATCCAGCATCGTTGTTTCAATTTATCTACATGTCCCAGAGCCTAATTGAGCTATACTGCGGTATTTTGTCAAAATCACACTCCCATGCTGCTATACTTCTTTCTCAATAATGTTTGGAGGGAAACACTTTTTGTCCATATCATCTTCGCGCTCTCCTACCCTTGTTTCCTTTCAGGAGACCAAACATTAACCAAATGTTATGACTCTCGTACCCAAGGGAGAATCTTCTAACATGGTTAACATTGTCTCATGACTTGAGATGTGCTTCCAGTGTCCTGTCATGGACAGGCTCTTTTCTTGGAGAGAAACTAAAATTGCCTTAAAACAGAATTAAAGATGGACTTTAGTTCTATGGGAAAATCATTTTTCGAGGCATAATCGAGCATTGTGAACATGACACAGTTTAAGCCACAGGGCTTTTTCCAGCGGATCGTATTTTGGCAAAAATGTTTAATTAGCCACAATGTTTGTCCTTCGGTGCTGTTATCTTTGACAGTTTGTGTGTCTTGGCTACTCTGACCGCTTAGATGCAGGCATGTTTTGAATGCTGGGTCAGCTGAAGGTCAGTGGCTAGCTCTTTGTTTGAACTTGAAGACAAGCTGGCCTGTTTCCTCAAGGGAAGTATTTCACAGTTTTTCAGCCACATAACTGGACGAGTACAGGTGGCCTCCTGCACTCCCTTTAATTTGTGCTTTAGCATTTTTGCACTTTTTTTCATTAAGAAAATTCAAAACAAGCAAAGAAGCAGCAGAAGAAAGCGTGTCTTACTTTCCCCTTTGTCTATAATATGATGTATATGATTTCTTTTACTCACAGTGACAAAAAAACCCCAATTTAAAATGACTCACTGCTTCAATATTGGCCCAATTTAATGACACAACATCATGAGTAGGTTGACCCCACTGCAAAAGTCATGCCCAAGCTCTGAGGAGTGATGGGAGATTATCATTTTTAGCGTTCTCTGAAGTTTCAGAAGGAAACCAAGTTTTTCACTGACAACAAAAGCACTTTGAGAATATTAGGAGTTTGCAGTTATTTCAGTTGGAGTTGTGCAAGTTTGGACTACTCTGCTGTTAGAGGTATTTGAAAATGAGACTGTGATTGCCAGTCCTCTGTGAGACAGTGAGCTAATATAGTAACATGGAACTCCACAGCATGTGTCGGAAGTTAATGTTGTCTTGACTACTATACTCGGACTTTCATCAGCTTTACACTTCACTTCTCTGTAGAGGTTGGGTGTCATGAGCACGTAACAAAGGCCCCTGCTTTCTGCAACACGTATGGATGTGGGTAGTTGCGCATGGAGTAGGCTATGGATTGCATTGTTTTTGTAGCTCGTTCTGAATTAGGATGTAGCTTTGTTCAGTTAAGTGGGCCACGGGGTTGGCTGGACTTTGGCTGAGCTAAATCACTGTCAGTTTTGCTACTCCTTTATCTCATGCAACATAATCTTAAGGTCATAGGCAAACCTTTTTATTCTAGTATTCCCAGAATATTTTACTTCCATACGAACGTCCTTGGTCCGGGCTTTGCTAAAAAACAAAAAATCAACAAAAAACCTTTACTGTATTCTTCGGACTATAAGGCGCACTTAAAATCCTTTAATTTTCTCAAAAATCGACAGCGTGCCTTATAATCCGGTACACCTTATGTATGAATTCTGGTTATGCTTACTGACCCCAAACCAGTCTTATGTGGTACATGGCGCTCAAAAATCTATCAAAAAATGTTTTAGTATGACTTTGGTAAGCTATGAAGCTTGATGGATTGTTGGAGCATTACGGCTACCATAGTCAGGAGCCTCGTGGAGTAACCCGGGTCAAACTCAGGTCCCAAAGTCAAATGAACACTGCGGCATCACTGAGAGTTAAAAACTGTCTAAATTCTGTCATGAAATGAAAACAGAATTTATTAAACTTAACAGAGTTAGAAGTTAGCAGGAAGTTAGCTCCTAGTTTCCACCTAAACATGATATAGCATGTTCTGACTGAGAGATTTGTGAAAAATATTTAACGTACAGCTCTGCTGTCACTTCAGACA